ACTTTGATAATGACTGGATTTCATGTACATAAAAAGCCATTCCAGAGATGGGGGTGTGGTTCCGTGGCAGGGCACTTGCCAAGCCTGCACACTGCCCGGAATTCCATCCCCAGCACCAAATGGGGAAGAAAAAAAAAAAAAAACCAACAACGAAAAAGAAACAAATGATCACTAAGGAGGCAGAGGCGCTGGCTGGGCTACATAGCAAGTTGGAGAAAGGACCCCGTTTCAGCATCCCTCACTCCATATGATAGTACAGAGTAGATGATGTCAGCAAGAGCCGCCACGTGTGGCAGCTGGAGAGATGGCTCAGAGGTTAAGAGCACTGGCTGCTCTTCCAGAGGTCCTGAGTTCAATTCCCAGCACCCACATGGTGGTTCACAAAGGTCTATAACTCCAGTTCCAGGGAATCCGATGCTCTCTTCTAGCTTCTATGGGCGCTACACACATGGAGTGTACCGACATTCATGCAGGCAAAATGCCCGCACATGTGCTCTTAACTGAAGTAATAAAATAAAATAAAATTAGGGGAAATAAAAGAATTCCCCAACTGTACAGGCTACAAAGTTTCTTAGGGACGAGTCATTGTAAAACCCTTTAAGGGGTATAATGGTAGTATACACCACATTTCCTGGATACTAAGGACGCTAAAGCCAAGATAAGTTCAAGGCCAGCCTGGGCAGTTTAACTAATTTTAAAAAAAATTAATTTATTTACTCATTTTGTGTTTGGTGTGCAAGCATGTGAAAAACGTGTGTAAAAGTCAGAAAACAACTCAAGGAAGTCAATTCTCTCCTTCCACCATATGTGTCCTGGGGATTGAACTCAGATCATTGGGTTTGGTAGCAAACACCCTTACTTACTGAGCCATCTGGCTGGCTCATATGGTGGTCAATCAAGTGAGGTCCTTTCTCAAGCAAAGACAAGGATGGGACTGGGAGCATGACTTAGTGGGGTAGAGCCCCTGCCTAGAATCCCCCAGTGAGGGGCTGGGGGTGTGGCTCAGGGGTAGAGCCCCTGCCTAGAATCCCCCAGTGAGGGGCTGGGGGTGTGGCTCAGGGGTAGTGTCCTTGCCTAGAATATGACAGGTTCTATCCCCATTATCACACACAGACACACACACAAAAGATTTAATTTTTGTTTTGTTTTTTCGAGACATGGTTTATCTGTGAAACAGTCCTGGCTGTCCTGGAACTTGCTCTGTAGACCAGGCTGGCCTTGAACTCACAGAGATCCATCTGCCTCTGCTTCCTTGAGTGCCCAGCTAAAAAATGATTTTTTAGGTAGGATAAAACTTTTTTTTTAACCACTGTTGGCTTCCTTTTTATTTCTGGATTCTGTGATTAAAAAAAAAAAAAACCTGGGAAATGCAACTTAAAAAAACAAAGGGTAATCAAGGCACTAGGAACTCAAAGCCATGAGCTGAAACGTCACTCAGCTTACTTCTTCTACTTTTCCACAGTTCAGATTCCCCTGCCTAGGGAATGCCACTGCCCACAGTGGGCGGTTCTCCCCATCTCCGGATAATCCAGGTAATCCCCCACAAATATGCCCGGAGACCATGCTGATCCAGACGGCCCCTCACTGAGACGGCCTTCCCAGGTGACTCTAGCTTGTGTCAAGTTGTCAATCAACCCTGACCGATGCCCTGTGTGCCATGCTTGTGAAGGTCTTTGAACAGGCAGCCGTAGCGACTGGACCGGAGTGGGCTGTGGGAAAACATATCCTCACCCACCTCTCTGTCTTCCACAGAACGGGGGCAACCTGCTGTGTGCAGTGGATGAATCCAACGATCATGTCCTCTCCGTGTGGGACTGGGCCAAGGAGACCAAGGTGGTGGATAGCAAGGTGAGTGGCCTTGCTGCTCATTGCCCTTCCCTGTGGGTGTCCTCTCACGACGTGCTGGGCCATGCGGTCAGGAGTCTGTAGCCACACTCATTTTAAACAGGGCCCTTGGCATCGTCTTTTGGGAGACTGTGCACAGGGCTTCTCTGTGAGTGCCAGTGGCCTCCTGTGAAAAATGAGGTCAACAGGAGGTGGAAAGACTGGGTATCAGGTCCATGGACCGGGCTCAGCACAAAGTTAGGTGTGGTGTGGCACACCTTGAATCCCAGAATATAGGAGGAAGCTGAGCCGAGAGATCTTGAGTTTGAATCTGGTCTGGGCTGCTTAACAAGACCCTGTTCCAAGAAAAAGAGAAATAGCCAGGCATAGTGGCGCACACCTCTAACCCCAGCACTCAGGAGGCTGGTGGTTCACTGTGAGCTCTGGGTTGCCCAGGGCTGCGTGGTGAGACTCTGGCTCCAGGGGAGGGGTTTGGGGTGGGGAGGCGTGATCAGGAGATAAGATATTTGCCCAGGATCACATGCCTGGGCTGAGAGCAGGAAACCTGATTCTAGATCAGGGGCCCCTCTTTAGGAAGGATGAGGGGTAAAGAGAGAAGGCGGCGTCCCGGAAATAGACTTTTCGAACTGGACTCTAGACATGGCTGTGACATATCTGTGTAGCCTTAGGCACTGTTTATGTCCTCCCACCCTCGTCTGTGATGGAAAGCACTAATGGGCCTCATCTCCCAGGGGGCGATGAGGATAAAGTGTGTTTTGTAAGTGCTCACTACAGCGTGTAACACAGAATAGGGGCTCCCAGAGGGCCTGCTAGTGTACTCACTCTTCCCTAAAGCAGGCTGTATAGTGCAGTCCTGCGGTGTGGGTGTGGCATGGTAGTCCTGGCAACTTTGAGTTCCTCCTTCAGAATCTGTCCTGACCCCCCCCCCCCCAGGGCTCCAACAAGGCTGTGCTGCTGGCCACCTTCCACCCCACTGATCCCAGCCTGCTGATCACCTGTGGGAAATCCCACATCTACTTTTGGAGCCTGGAGGGAGGCAGCCTGAGCAAGCGGCAGGGCCTGTTTGAGGTGAGCGCCAGGGATCTGTGGATGGCCCAGGCCAGCCAGGGACACCCAGTGGGGTGGACGGTCTGGAGGGCTCCAGGGGGTGGCAGGATAGAGCTACTGAGCTGTTGCCTGACCGCCTCGTCCCTATGATGAGGGAAAGTCCTGCTGGAGTCTGATGTGTGAGGGTCCAGAGGGTGAGAGAACACAGGAGCTCCATGAAGGGTGCATGAGGACTGGAGTTCCAGTCCCCAGCCTGAGTGGAGCACGGTGGTGGCACACCTGCAACCCTGGGGAGGGGAGAGAGAGAGCGCCCAGGGCAAGTTCGCCAGCTAGGGTAGCTGGATCTATAAACCGCAGGTTCGGTGAGAGCTCCTGCCTCGGTGCAAATATGTAGAGAGCCATCAAGGAAGACATAAGACATCAACTCCACATGTGTACACACGCTCACACATGTGAACACACTCACACAGCACAGCCACATACCTGTGAATGCAATAGCACACACATCCACACATATGAACATCCATCGCATATACACACATGAACACAGTAATAGCACACCTACCCACACATGTGAACACACATAGCACCTCACACAGCACCACACACACACACACACACACACTACAAGCCAGGGAAGGTGGCATGTTTTTATAATCCCAGCGCTGGGGAGATGGAGACTGGCAGTTCCTTGGCCCATTGGTCTGCCAACCTAACCTATTTGGCAAACCCCAGATCCCAGTGAGAGACCTTGTCTCAAAAACAAGGTGAGGGACCCCAAGTTAGTGGTGTACACCTTTAATCCCAGCACTCGGGAGGCAGAGGCAGGCAGATCTCTGTGAGTTCGAGGCCAGCCTGGTCTCCAGAGCGAGTGCCAGGATAGGCTCCAAAGCCACACAGAGAAACCCTGTCTCGAAAAACAAACAAACAAACCAAAAAACCAAGGTGAGGGGGGCCAGACATGATCGCTGGGTAGTTAAGGGCGCAAAATGCTCTTGAAGAGGACAAAAGTTAAGTTCCCAGCACCCATATCAGGCAGGCAGCCCCCAGGGATCCAACACCCACTTCTGTCTGGCTTCTGCAGGCACCTGTACTCACAGGCACACCTCCCCACATAACTTCTAAATAATTAAGATTTAAAAACAAACAAACAAACAAACAAACAAAAAACAAAGTTACATGGGCAAAACACCTCAACATTTGAAAGTGCTAGCCACCAAGCCTGACCACCCAAGTTCAATCCCTGGAACATACATAATGAAAGGAGAGAACTAACTCCCACAGTTGACCTCTGACCTCTACATGGACACCATGACACGTACGTGCCCACACACACATATATACCACAGAATCTTACAGAATAAACAAGAAGTGTAACGAAATAGTTTTTAAAAACCAAATCAACACGCCGGGTATGTTGGCGCACACCTTTAATCCCAGCACTCGGGAGGCAGAGGCAGGCGGGTTTCTGTGAGTTCGAGGCCAGCCTGGTCCACACAGAGAAACCCTGTCTCAAAATACCAAAAGAAAAAGAAAAGAAACAAGCTGAAAGCAAGGTGGATGGCTTCTGAGGGATGACACCGTGGTTGTCCTCTGGTCTCCATGTGAAGGCACATGTGTACACACCCAGACATATGTATACACGAAGGATCAGAACAAGAGAGAAAGGGTCCACGAGGGCAGGCGCTGGGGGCTATGAGGAGGGATCCCCACTCTGCTCAGAGGGAGGCGTGGAGGACGTGAGGCCCAGAGACAGATGCAGGAGAGACACTGGAGCAGGCACCAGAAGGTGGGGGGGGGCAGAGAGACTGTCAGAGGTTTGTCCCAGAGCGTCATCCACGTGACACTTCAGGAGAGGGGAAAGTCAGGTATTCTCTATGGGGCCTCCCACCCCAGACCGCGGTTTCTCGATAACCAAAGCCCTGGATGCCTGTGACCTGCACAAGGCCACCCTGCTTTGTTTGGTGACACTCTGACGCCTTCTCTCCTCGCTCCTTCTGCATCGCAGAAACACGAGAAACCAAAGTATGTGCTGTGTGTGACCTTCTTGGAAGGTGGCGACGTGGTCACTGGAGACTCTGGAGGGAACATCTACATCTGGGGCAAAGGTCAGTGTCAGCACACTGGTTTGGACTCTGACCTCCATCTTTTCAAACACCCTCGGCTGAGTCTCCCTCTCTTTAACCACGCTTGTGTGGGATGAATGTCACTATAGGAGAAAATTTCTCCTCCTTTAACGTGTGTGTGTGTGTGTGTGTGTGTGTGTGTGTGTGTGTGTGTGTGTGCACATG